CATGCCAATCCCCCCACATTCGTCTCTCTTGGGAAAATTAGAGTTTGACCGTCCCTGTGGGACCAAATTTTGAGTTTTATAGTTCCTTTTTAGTCCCTATGGGATTTCATTTCCTCTCCTTTTTTTTCTGCTTTTTGTCTCTTCCTTGTTTCTGTTCCTCTGCCTCCGCGCTCGTTTTTGTGATAGGTATATTCTTAGTTTTCGTCAATGGCGCTGTTGGGCCTCTTCCTCCTCGTGGACCTTCTCGTGCTCTTCTGTGGTTTTCGTCTCCTCTTGTCTTTGTCATTGGCTAGTACGGTCTTCTTTGGGCTATCAGAAGACAAGATCACGTCTATAACGCTGATGTTGTTGCTGTCATTTTTCTTTGGTTTTATCGTCTCAAAAAAATTTATGCAAGCCACAAATTCTGACGAAACTTTTGCAAAACCCATTTCGTGTATGAGGCTCTTGATACTCGTATTACTTGTGGTGCCATTGATTTGCTTATCTGAAGATGCAATTGAAAAGTTCCGAGGCGAGTCGATGGTATTGATTGGGATTGGGTTACCCAAGGCTGTGGTTAGTGTGGCCCGTCGTGCTCTTGTGGATTTTCTTGTTGGTTCTGCGGTTGTTGCGGGCTATGGTGGTGTTGTTTTTTGTCCTGTATTTTGGAAGAAGGTTCTCTGTTCTCCCAGCCTGTGGAAGACTATCCGTCGCATGACGGAGGGTCTGTTTCCTTGTCCTTTTTGTCAGCAATTTTAAATTTTATGCCTCTGGCCTGTCTGGGGTTTGATTTTCCGCACGTTTGTTTGCCAGTTTTTGGCTTTGCTTTTCTTTCCATCTATCTCTGTTACCGCGTCTTTCCTGGCTTGTTGTTCCTTTCGGGACAGTTTCTTCGGCAGTCCTGCCTTCTCATCCTCCCAGAAAATTTCATGCTTTGCGCGTTTGATTGCTCGATGTCTAAAAAAACGCAATAATGCACATGTACGCCACATCCGGTTACCTGTATGGACCTGATAGCAGAACAGGTCCATGCTTGCGTTTTTTAGATATCGAGCAGTCAAACGCGCCAAAGCATGAAATGTTCCGGGAGGATGGACCTGTACGTCTGCTTTGTACGCCACATAATCGCTTAGCCGTGAAGATCTGCACGATCCATATATTTTTGGGTTTGGTACGAATGCGAAGCCGCAGTTGCTCAGTAATTAAGGTTGTTTTCCCTTAGTTTGTACTCAAGCTATGTGCGGTGTATATACTGAGATTCTACCATCAATTCTTTTTTCACTTCTGCTCAAATGTTTTGGGATCTTTAACTTTTGTTGCGAGACGGACCGTCTTTCTAGCTGCCTGTTGTATATGTTTTTTGATGTTAGTGTCCATTTGTTTTTGTGTTCCTTTGTTTCTTAGATTTAAATCTTCCCTTTCCTTAGCTAGTGAATGATTTGTTCTTACACCTAGGCTACTTTTTGTAGAGAATTCTTGTCCTTCAGGGTCATATATGATGGTTTCGAATGGTTTTTTTGGGCCATCGTGTTATCTTCCCATCTATTTCAGAACAGCATTCAAGGTCGTGCATGATTTCCGGCTGGAGAGGAGGATACATCAAGCTTTTCCGATGTAAAAGTTTTGCGTTTTCCCAGTTTTGCGTTTTCCAAGTTTTGCGTTTTCCCAGTTTAGGCTATCTGGTGAACTAGTTGTTGCTATGTTAGATAATTTTTGGTATTCTTACGGTTTTCTTGTTCGGGAATAATTCTCCTGCGTCTTGGATGTTTTGTGGCGGGCGTGTTGTTTTGAATGGGTCATTCAGCGCTTTTATGTGGTCGTCATTGTTTTGCTGTGTCAGCGGTGGTCAGACAGGCTTTCTTCTCGGTCTGACTCTCATTTCCACACTATCTCAGGGTTTCGTGCTCGAGGAGTTGTGTTGTGTGGTTTTGAGGGAAGCGCTTTCAGGAAGAGATATTTTTTGTAGCCTTCAGTCTCGTTGAGTCATTTAGTTTTCTCAATTTTTATGTCACAGTTATTATGTGATCAATTTAGGCAAACGTGTTTTCACATTTTGTGATTATAAGATCGTTAGCTTTTCAAAATTCGGCTGGCATATCCGTAAGGCCATAAAATCCCGTCTGGAACTGGTATTTTCTTTTAGTTTTACCACCTATCAAGCTGTAGTTGCAAGGTATTCTTGTTTCGTTAACCAGCTGGTTTTTTGAATATGCGTAGGGTAAATCAAGTGTCGAGAAAATAGTTTTCTGTTTTTCTTCCGTCTTAATGGTTTGTGCGATATTGTCCAACAACAGTTTGATATTGGGTATTTGAAATTAATTTTTGGGTATGGCTTTTAATTTTTAGGAATCTAATGCTAGTTTCACGGTCTGATCCTTCTTGATCGTTATGACAATTGGGCTGTTGAATTGCTTGTCTGAACATTTATTTGGACTTTTGATGGGTTCTTGATTTAATAATTTGTATATTACTGTTTCTACTCGTTCTTGTAGAAAAATGGTTACTCGTCGTCCTTTCTGTTGGATTGATTTGCTGTCTTTTACAAATCGAGTTCGCATTACGTGGTTTTTTTTATTTTCCGATTCGCACGCAGAGTTATTTAAGTTCTCCTTAACCCAGTTGTGTATTTCTTCGTATTTCGTCTCATGCTTCTTCTTTTGCTTGTATGTTTAGAATCTGGTTGTGTTTTGGTTTGTCTTTTATAAATTTGATGCCGATTTTAGGTGAAAGATTCCGCTCGATGATATTTCCTTTTTCGATTGTCCACAATAATGAACGGTGCTGATTGGACGGTCAATCCTCCGCATTCCACCGCAATTATAAGGCGTGCTTTTGGAACAATACTTTTTCCGCTATAACAAGCAAAGTTTCGGGCGGTATCCAACGGCGGGATGTGTTTGAATATCGCTGAGCAGTCGTTTCCTGCCGTTTTCTCATTGAAAAAACGACATTGGGCTTCCTGAGTCAGCTATTGCAAATAGATTTTCTGATTTTGTTTCTGTTTTTACAATTTGACCTTTTGAGTCTTCTTCTTATATGCTTATTGAGTTTCGTATTTCAAACGCTTCTGAAATCGTCGAAACGGTAAAAGTGTCCTGTGGGATTTCCTCGCTGCCTTTTGATGACCTAAATTCGGCATACGCCGCTGGATCGTTGTTTTCTTCGATATCAATGGAGTCTACCTCTTTGTCTTCCTGTTGATTTTTGCTTTTCTCCTGCATGTAATTGACGCTTGTTGATCTGCATACTTTTGCAAAATGCCCGCGTTTAGCGCATTTTGTCTAGATTTTGTCTTTTGCTGGGCATGACTGTAATTTTTTTTGTCCAATTTGCCTGCCGCATTTATAACACGATTTTTCTTGTCCATCTATTGATCGCGTGTTATAATTTCCCCGTGGAAAATTGTGTTGTCCTCGCAGAGTTGCCCGGCGCTTTTGGTTGTTTTGATATCTGCGTGTGCTGCAACCTTTTCGGCGTGGTTGAATTTTCCCCACAAGTTCCTGTTTGAGTGTTGCTCTTGAGGTTGCTGGTGTTCCAAACTGATTTGCTTTAATTGCTTTACTAATTACTATACCATTCTTTCTCCTGATTGCATATTAGTACGCATCCTGCGGGTATCTTGTTTCTGCCAACAGTTCTCCTGCAATTTTCTCATTTGATAGGAGGGCTGTGAATTTTTCGCAAACCCATTCATCCTCTCAATCACCACAGTCGGCTTGTGAGGCCAACTCTACCTAGTCCGCCTGGAAATGTTCCAGCGTCTCGTTTTTGTGTTGCTTCTGACAAATGAAATTGTATTGTTCTAAAGCTATAATTCTTGTGATTACGAAGATATCTTCCAGGATTCGCATGATTTTTTTTTGTATTTGACGTCTGAATGTCGGAGCTTGGTCCCTTCTGTTGCAATTGTCCTTGCCCCTCTGCTCCCTGGAATAAAAAATAAAGCTTCTTAAATCGGCGTTTGCGTCATCCCAGGGTACGTGGTTGCAAAGCACGCCCCTGTCTCTGGTTTTGATCACGTTGTTTTCCCAAGTTAGTTCTGTCTCTTGGTTTCTGAAATCTCTATTACGCTTTTGTGCTTCTGTTTTTCCATGGATTTCAATTTCGTAAGTCGGTTCGGTTGGTTCTAACACTCCAGGTTTTGATCTTAGTAAAATTAACACCTCTATCCCGTCTTTGGCAAACACAGCCATTTCCATTATAGCTGCCCACTTTGACCATTCCAGTGGTAGTTCTACTGATGCCTTCTGTCAAAACGGTGGATACTCAGCAGATTCTTCGATCTTGCTGACTTCGCCAAGTCATACCATAACTCTTGATTCATGCCAGTCCGGCCGGATGACAACTGGCACTTCGGAGCATTTCTTGAATCTCTGATTCGCTAAGTTCTGCTGTCTATTGCAAAGCCAGTCTATGATCATCAATGTCTTTTCAAAAAAAGAGGTTTAATTACGCTTATAAGTTACCGTTTTTTTTGGAAAGTGTTGTGATATCTAGAGAGCGATTTACATCAATTGCATTTTGTGAAAAACAACTTAAATAAATTTTTGATGCTGCTTCTAAATTTGGTCGTCAAAAAAATTGTCGAGCGCTGCATGTAAATTATTAAGTTTTGCTTAATGATATAACAATCCCCCTACAACGCTGCACAGTGTTAAGGATACTATCAAGGTCTCTTTCCATGGTCCTATTTAAAATATTGCGCGGTTCCGCTAGAAAATTGCACTACAAATGAGTTTAATTTACTGTTAATAAAATTCAGTTTGCTACCAAAAAGCTCAAGTTTGGCGTGGTTATAATGGGTCTATTGTCAAGGAATCCAAAGCTTATGCGATTAGCTCTGAATGGGATCAGCTAAAATTGAAAATTCTTTATTTTTGAAGCCGGTTCTGCAAAAAGATTTCTGATGCAAAACATTTTATGCAATAAATAATAATGGTTTAGAATAAAAACTGCTGTGACAGGCTAAACACGTTTGTCAAGAAAAAAACTTCAGAGTTGTGTTTTAAAATAAACAGTCCATAAAGCAAAGTGTGGTGCACGTTTTATTCATTGCTATTCGTGACTATTAAAAACAATTAACGAGTCGAGACTGATTTAAACGACTTGATAAAGATTTATCATTACAATCTGGCAAGATGATTATTCGCGAAAGTGATAAATTACCAACGGTAGAGCTGCCAAGCTCTGAACTACAGGGAAAACATCTAATGCAGCATCCTTATGATGACATGCAATTCGGTGCCTATTACGTTACTATAGAGGCCGGAAAAGAGATTTCCCTGAAAGGAAATGTCCACAAAACACCAATTGAAGAAATTAAATATTCACATGGTTACTTTTGCATGGACGGTGTTTTAACTGCGTCCAGTGTGACCGACAAAAATAGTACAATGGGTCCATACATTTTGAAAGAGGGATCATTTCACATGTTCCCGCATTCTGTCACGCTTGTTTGCAATGTTGAGAAGAAAACTACTTTGATTGTGATTTATGTGCCCGAAAAAGACGGGTCTCCTGCTGAAAATGTGATTTCAGGGGCACTTTCCGATCTTCAGAAGAGCAAAAGGTTTGCATTTTCATTAAACAAATCAGCTTTCGCGCTGTTTTCTCTTAATTTTCTCTTTTTCCATGAAACTCATCAGTTTTTTTCATTTGTAAACTAGGATGTTCTCGCTATTTTGACCAAATTTTCTGGACCGCAGGCGTGCTTGAAAAATTTTCGGAACATTCGACCAAAAATCGCGTTTTTTGGCGCGTGCTGCCTTTTAAAATTAGTGTATTGGCGCTAGAGGCGCCGTTAGAAAACATTTACGTTCTGTCAGCCAAAAATGTAGATCTCAAGATAGTAGAGAGGAAAACCTTTTGGTGGGCAGGGGGTCGAATCCCTGAAAGAAAAAGAACGTCCTGTCCCCCCCCCCCCCCCCCCCCCCCCCCAAATCCTCCGGAGTCTGCAAACGAGCATATTAAACGAAAGTTCTCTGTGTACGTTTGCAATTACACCGTGTCATCAAGTCTATTAATATTTTTTCTGTAAGCAGCTAGTAAAAACAGAATCAGTTCTTCATATCTTTCATTTGTTTTAAAGTTCTCAGCTGATTTTTATGAGTGCAAGAACTTGATGGGTGTATCACTCTAAACTGATACTTATCATGCAGCAAAATCTAAACTCGTAAAACAAGACTAATTCAGCAAAAAATGCCCTCAAATGTTTCGGATATAGAATACTTTTGAAATTCTCAAAAAACGAGACAATTTAGCTCGCTGCTCACGATATGTTTTCATTACAAAAAAAAGAGAAAATTTTGCTTGATTTAATGATAGCTCCGAATTGGCGAAGCTTACAAACAATAATCACAAAGGAAAAGTTGTATTATTTTGAACACAGAAAATCAAAAGCTCCGACATTAACAGCTGGTAATAAGTGCTGTCAAATTTTGTTTGAAAAAAAGCAACCGCAGCACAAAAGTTTGCTTTTTCTGTGAAAAAAAAAATAACATGCAAAAGATGTTCTTTGTTTTTTCAAAATTTATTTTTTTCAAAGTTCCTTTATTTTACGTTATTTCACCACTATTTTCTTTCCCAAATATCTTATTACCCTATAGCAAGGTCCCACTCTGCATTCAAACCCAAGTTTAGTTCCCATAAATCCAATATACTTTTTTCAATTTAATAACCATAGTAGGTGTCAACAAAAAATAAAGCTAGATGGCAGTTTAAGAGTTTTTATAGATTTAAAACAAAAATACAACAGTTTAAATTAATAAAAATCCAAATTTCAAAATGGTTCTTACAGGCCGCAGAGTTTCTTAAAATAGTTTTGTTTCAAGTGAACAATGGGCGCTGCTTGCGATTGATGGTGATTGAAGAATCGCACCTTTTTTGCAATTTGTTTTGTTTTGAAGCTTATTGAGGTTACTGCGATCACCAATTGTGAGACCGAGTTTGTTTTCCTTGCAAAATTAGGAGCTGCAAAAATTTTTCATACGGTATCACAGTAAAAAAAAACAGTTTTCTTTTTTTTTATTGCTAAAGCGCTAAAACTTTTAAAAAGCAATGCTCAAAATGAGGAAGTTATATCTATCATCACTTTTTGTTTTTTTTTTTGCAATGATAAAAATGCTTGCAATACGGCAACAAAGTGATTTGACCTGCTGTTCTTGTTCATATTTCTTGCCTTGATAAATTCTATCATTTGATTAGCTTTCCATAACTTGAATGATATCAGCGGGGGCCTACGAAATTAAAAGACAATCAAATTAGAAGACCGTAAAAACGGAAATTAGATGATAAGTTTTTTGTTATTTTAGACGATTAGGAACTGGGCTAGCAATGTTTTTTGTTTAGAATGATTTTACACAAAAACAAAAAAGAGTATATGAGACAAAACATTAAATCAAAAAAGTAAATAACACTGCATAAGTTATAGTAAAAGACAGTATTTACTCAACGAAAAGTAAATTAAGTCTATAATCAAATTTCACACAATTTGTACCCAAGTATCCTCTAAATTTCGTTATTTTCTGGTCGTCTATTTTCCTTGTCTGATTTCCTAAACCCTATATCAGCTATAAGAGAAGTAATTTTTTAACAGCCACCAAAATTTATATAATCCAATCTTCTAACCTAAAAAGTGTAACCAATGATTGAAGTGTCAAAGACAATTTGTTAGTTTCTACAGCAAATATAAAGCTGATTCGAACGTTTTTTACTCTAACTGTTGAAGAACGTTCTCTGAAGTAAAACAACTGGATACGAATTGGTTAATTTGTCTAATGTTCTCTTAACTTTTATCCTGTTTCAGTTAAGCTTTATGACGTCAAAGACGTCTCAACAAAATGGCCTTTTGCACTGAAGATCATTCTATCATACACAATATATATCACACATTCCCCCCGCGTACAAATAGACGTAACCAATATAATCCACTCTTTCAAACTTTTCATATAACTCAAACTAACACTTTGTTAATTAAAATTTATCACCACTAACTTAGGGCATTGCTTTTGCTCTATAGGCGATAAGTCGCCATTATCATATTTTTCGTCTAACTCTTTATCACCAAATATGTTGTTATGAAATGGTTGTCTTCAAAGATGTTTTATGAAGTCGTCTGATTGCCTTTGACTTCCAGTGGATTGTTGGCACTTTTTCCGAGTCTTTTTCTCGTATAATCCCCACTTGGCCCATTGTTGATCTATGTCTTTGATTCGCATCTCCCTAGAACTCCATCTGCGAATACCCAGTTAATTTTCTAAACTTTATTGACTTACTCGGCCGCCTTTTGAAGGATCGAACTACGTTATTAAGTGCTCTGATCACCCCCATGTTGGTCTAGTATTCAACAGACTTAGAGCGTCATTCAGTCCTTAGAGCGTCATGAATCTGGCCTGATAAAAGTAGTCTTCTATTGCTGCTTCCCAATTAACGATCTCGCCATCGCCACCATTCCATCTCCTTTGGCCATTTGATTGTCCGCTGCTGGCAAATTGCCAATCTCCTGGATGGCCATCACATCGTGCAACACTGGTTTAACTTCTATGTGTCACTATACGTCGCGACACTGAGTCCTAGGAAGTCAAAGTTCTGTGTTTTAATGGTGCCACGTTTTAAGCCTTTTAATGCTCCTTGCACTCGATTCTCAAATTATGTTGTTCCCCCAAACAGAATGTCGTCTACATGTACAATTAGTAGCCCAATACACTGTCCGTTGTCTGTTATCGAGTAAAATAGGCAATGCTGTGTCATGCGTTCTTAAATTTGTTGCGTGTACAGTTGATTCATCAGAGTTTGATACCACTCGTAAGCTGAATTGCTCAATCCATATGCGGCAACGAACAGTTTCCACCATTGCGTTTTTGATATCTGCGCCTCGACTGGTGCACATATACATAGCGTTTCAATTTTTGTGAAATGGCGGAAGGCATTTCTGGTGTCACTCGTCACTGGTTCCCAGTTATGTGACTTTATGATGCATAGTACAAAAATACAGGCCGCTTTGATGCAGTAGGGGCAAAGTTCTCTAGTGACAAAATCTTCACTTCTTGGTCTCCCCGCACAGCTAATATCAATTTCAGCTCCTTCGTACCGTCAGTGGCCACTTTCTACGTGTCTAACCCTACTATTCCTCAGAATTCGTTTGCCCAGATTTCCAGCCACATGGTTGCTAACCAACTCGACCACTTTGAACATGTTCCAAGCCCCTCTCGTCTTGACATTGAGAAATTGTCTCGATTGTCCTTCTATTTTAGTACTCCCACAATTTCTCTATGCTGGATCAAGTTCGGCAGTGACGAAAGTATTGGATATCCAAGTCTAGTCATCAGTTTATTTCGTCGTTTGGTTCTTTAATTAATCGCCACTGTGCCTGGCGTGTCGTTGACAAATTCTAGGTCGTGAATCAGTGATTCATTGGAGGTTCATCCGCCGTTTGTATTCTATTCCAATTTTCTGGCTGCTGCTGATTGAGCCTCGAAATCAGTCACTCTTATTTGGGTTGACGACGTCTCGCTTCTGTGCCAGTTCTCTTCGATTTTCATTTCTTGGTTGCCCGTTCGTTCAATTAATTTTTTTCTTTGTTCTCGTCCTCCGTAATCATTGTTGGTGTCAAAGTTAGTTCTGCTGCACTCCTTCCACTTCGTTCTCCTTCAGGGAACGCATTCCCTTCATTCTCCATCTACCAACTAATCGTCTCTCGTTCCTCCGTTTCATCCTCTTCAGTCTCACCTCTCATGTCTTCTTCTCGAAATCGTACCACTCTTGGTACGCTTAGGATACGTTCTGATCCTGTTGGGGCGTACTGTCACTTATCTTGAGTCCCTCCTTCTGTCATCTTTCTTCCTTTTCTTCCTTCCTTCGTCTGAGCTCTCTTGCTTTTCAGTTTTTGACCTTTTTCTCGGTGGATTTCCCGAATCGCCCCCATGGTCCCACTTTTCCGAATGACACTCTCCTCCTTTTCAGCTCTACTTCTGTCATCTGTTCGTTCTCCTGTGGTATCTGGTTTGCAGCGTCTTGCAGTACTGGTCTAAACTCATATCCGTCTCCATCTTGACTATTTGCAATCACTTCAAATCCCAAAGTCTGATTCTAAATGCTTCCGCAGTCTCTTCATTTATTGGTGGGCGGTGTCGTTACAGTAAAAACGTATCTGCTTCTGGCCATTGCCGATTCTTCTCAGTTTCTCTTTCTGTTTCGACCTGTCCTCAAACTTTTTAGGTTCTGTCTTTCACTCTCTCATTTATTCCGTTTTCGATCTCATTTTCACTCACTGTCCCGTTGCTCGATAAATCACCATAAATCCTGTAAATCCCTGCAATTAATAACCTCCGTAAATAAAACTATCAAATTTCAGTTCTTTGATAGCTATTTGCAACTATTTACTTTCTTCAAATTTATTTTCATCCGAATTTAAACCAATTTTCTTTCTTTTCAATTTTTCACGCACTGGCTCGTTTTTAAATACGACTTGATTGTTTTTCAAATTTTTGTGACTTATTTCAACTTGCGCCTCTTTGTCAGATTTAGCTAATAAATACGGCCTTGAATTTTGTTTATTTTTACTTTGCAATT